GTTGTGAGACAGTTCAAGAATGTAATACTTCACAGCTGCTACTGGTGCTGTGATTGGCTAAAACCTCGACATGGAAAACAGGTGGCACTTTTGTATTTATTCAATTAGCTTAAAGAATTGTACCACGTCTCTCCCTTTTATGAACACTTTCCCCAGGAATCTTTCCAGGTGGATACTGTGTAGAATTCAAATTGAACAACACATGTCAATCGAGCTCATGCCAGGTTAAAATATAGCGTCAACATGAGAGCAAACCATATGATCTTGATCAATGCCAAATAGCAGGTGAATAACAAAGAAACTGCTGTTTTTACAGTAAGACACATTTTTTATTATTATTTATCAAAATGCTTTAGTCAATCATTCCCAGTGTCCTATCAGAATTCTGGTAAATGTGAAAAATGAGTTTTAATGGAGCAAACATGTGTTAGATAAAACCTGAAAATCCTCTACAAAGCTACAGTGCACAAATAAAACAAACACGGAATTTATGTTTTCCAGGAAATTTTAGCTTGGAAGTTCAATGGAAATGTAGGTTTGATTGAAACCATTTGTTTATTTATTATTAGGATCCCCATTAGCTGTGCTTTACACCCAGCTACTCTTCCTGGGGTCCACATCATTAAAATACAGTATACAATGTAAATTCATGAACATGTTTGACAGATGACAAATAGCATATACATATCAATAAGACTGAACATTCATAGAAAAGGGGAAGGTTACAATTTAAAATTTTAACATTTTATGAATAAGTTACAATAAATTAGAATATGAAACTATTTCATTTATAGATAAGTTGCTCCTAAAAACCTCTTAAGTTGCATTTTAAAAGGAGATTTATGTACCATTACAGTTTGTTTTTTTGCCTACTTCACAACATGTTGAAAATGCACAAAATGGGTTATAATCTGTTCAGAAAGATATTTTTCAAACAGAACACTGTACAAAGGTCCAAAGTTCATTTAGAGTAATAGCTGGTGATAGCTCCATAGTTGATTTACTGAGGTGTTGTGAGTAGTCATTGCCTGCAGAGGTTGGACTAATGAATCTTTTATGGAGAAATTTCCAGCAAGTGAAGTTAAGTCATTTTTAAGGGAATTACTGCAACCTTACCTGACTTAAACACACCACTCTGAAAGCCTGTTTATGTAATAAATAGTTTAAATGAAGAATTGAACATATACATTTACCGGTATAAGTATCACATTAACCATATCAACTCAGACTAAATTGCAACCAAGAGACCAGTGGTACCTCTGAAGGATGTGCCGGAATTTAGTTCAGGTGGCAGAGTCTCCCTGCAGGACAATTAGTTATGCTGTTAACAAATATGGACTTTATGGAAGAGGGGCAAAAATCATTTCATTTCAATTCAGTTTATTTATATAAAGCCAATTCACAACACGCCAGCAAGGTACTTTACAGGGTAAATACAATCAGGTTACCAAGATTAGTAAAAAGTTTTTTTATACAAGGAAAACTAGCTGATTGCACAGTCATTGACTTTGCATGATAGCTCCTTCTGGATGAGCATGTGGCAACAGTAGACATTGCACTGGTTCGTTGACTACAGCAGTCCTTTACACTTAGCATGCATGCAGCGAACAGAAAGAAACCTCCTGTAGAACTAGGCTCAGTGTGAGCTGCCTTCTGCTGAGGAAAACTGGGATTTCAAGAAGAGAGAAGCAGACATACAGAAGAAACATAGAAGTACTGATCCATAAAAACTTTCTATGTTAGAGAAGGTAACCATAAAACAGCTCCAGAGGAAGTTCTGTATAGGAAAGACACAGTTAAGCTGGAACAGTTTTCATGTCAAAGGGATGACAGAGACCATAATCCAGTTAGTCACAGTAAAAACTGATCTTTGCTATGCCTAGGATAGAAACAGGACTAAGCACTGAAATACAGGCCAAATTCTATTAATTATAATTGAAGGCATTGATGGCAGCAGCCTAGCTGAAATCTCTTCAAGATGGTGTCACAGCCAAACAGGAATAGACCAGATGAAGCTATTATGGTGAGAGAAAGCAGAGAGATCATTACGTTCAGGGTTAAATTAACAAATTCTGCTAAAATGTGAGAATAGACAAAGAATGAAACAGAATGATTTAAAGTGGTCCCTACGTCCTCCAGCAGTCTAAGCCTATAACAGCATAGAGATAAGCCAGGATAACAATATGCTTATAACAAAAAGCAATAAGCGAAAAAAAGCCAAGTTTTAACACTAGACAGTGTATTTGCCTCTTGAAATAAAACTTTTCTTTGTTTCCAGAAGAAGGGAGCCTGGTAACAAGAGAAAGAAAACTGCTTTAAAGTCCTGTTTGCAGTTGGCCACAACCAATATGAGGACACAATAAACATGTAGAAGACTATGCTTAACTGAACATTTTAGCATAAATTAAAAATACTACATCCTATTGCCCAAAGTAAATGTGGTGATGGCTGCAACATGTTGTGGGGATCCAGTTCTTCAGCAGACAGGAGTATACTGACTGCTTGCACAGTGGAGTCATTCTTTAAAGTTGCTGAAAGGTGGAAGGTTTCATCAGGTGAAAATCCAGTAGCATCCTCTCACCTTTCAGAGTGAATTCAAGTTAACAATTATTGGAAAAGAAACTCAATATTATTTATTGAAATAGCTGTCAGGACATTAACACACATACAAATAAATGTTCTTCTCCACATGAGATCTGTTTTCCCCATGGCTATTTCATGTTTTTTTTACTTGTGCCAAAATTGCACCTCTGTTGTTTATTTGAAGTGACAGAAGTGACTGTACCCCACCAAAAAGGACTGAGAGTGTTGTTTGTATATGTGAGATGAAAAGAGCAGGACTGTCCAGGTGTGGTTAGGCTTGCCGAGTGGCTAGAGTTGGTTGTGGATCCATACCAGATTTACCAGGGGATAAAAAAATGTGGGGCTAGTGATTTCTTTTTTTTTATATCCATGGATGGATCAAACACAGATTGAAAAAAACACACAAAAAGATGGCAATATTCTATTGTATGAGATATTAAGTGAGCCAAAAAGCCACTTGCAGCCATGGATGCCTAAGATATTGTAGATAAAAACTTGATGTCTGAATATTACATTGGACAACAAAGGAGCCATTTAATTTTTAAATGCTTACAAATATGAAATTGTAAAATAAAAAATAGGAAAAAAGAAATTGATCAAAGGAACTTATTAACTATCTTTTCCTTGCCAGTGGACATCATATTTAGAAATGTATTTAGCATTATGTCCTTAGTACAGTGGCCATAACACCTGTTCTATAGAGACCTCACCCCCTGTTGGCCCCCGCCTAGACCTGCCCATGGTTGGTTAACGTTTAAGGGCATCAAGGTTGAACTTTAGAGAATCAAACCAACTCACAGCATCTAACCATTAGGTGGATCTTTTAAAGACAATACTAAATGTGCGGTACAACGCAGACACTTTGAAGGTACTGTTTTTTTCCCCTCTTAAAGTGAAAATTAGATATTTATGTCACACGGGTTTTGCATATATTTTCCAAGTTCTTAATTACAGTTGCTAAGAGGTGTTGCAAATATATATGAATGTGCCCAAAACACAAAAAGTACTGAAGAGACAAAAAAAAGGCTTGCAAACACAAAAATTTGACTAGCAAATAAATAAACAGTAACACAAAACAGATGCAAAGTAGAAATGCTGCAAATATAGAAAATACAAGAGCTGCAAAGTGCCGACACACTGCAAATACAAAACCCACAGCAAACGTAAATGATGTACACTCACAATGTATAATACAAGAGGTATAAAAATGAACCTTTTCTGAAAGTGTTTGGAAATCCCTGCAGAGGACAGCACCAGAAACGTTTTGTTTTTACCTTTGTACATGTTTTGTGTGTTGGTCTAATTGTTTTCTTTACGAAAACGTGTATGTATCTGCTGTGCATTTGCGCCTGTTAATCAACCTACATAATTCAACACTTTCACAAACTCATGTTTTCTTATATTCTGTAGTTATGAGTACAAAATATTCAAACAAACATATTCTTAATAATAATGGATAATTGAACTCAGAACCTCAGGATTCCAAGCTCTATGCCCTAACAACTAGGCCACCCCTCCCCCTAAAACTCTTGAGTTTTATGATCGTGTTCCAGGAATCACTGCAGGTTCTATTTGGTAGCCAACTCGAGTCTGAGTTCAGCTTAAAACACTTATGTGAGGCTTAAAAACAAAACAAAGAAAATTAACCTTTTTAAAAGCTGAAGTGTTAAATATCTTTTTTTTTTTTGGCAGTGACAAAAAAAAGAAAAAGATAAATGTAAAGGTCAAACTTCAAGGATAACTTAGTCAATGATAAGGTAATCAATTTTGCTTTATTATAAATAACATAACAGAAATAGTTACAAAAATCCAATGCATATCATAACTAAGTTTAGAGAAAATTAAAATTATAAAAAGAAGATTGAGGAAAAAGTAGCCCATCCTTTCAAGCCAAACTGGTCAAGCTGCCAATAACCCTATGCATCTAACTTGTGTATTAAGTTGAATATCACTGCAGTGAGAACAGTCTGTGCAACATCACTTTTTTGTGTTTTTTTTATTAAAAATCAGTGAAGAGTGAAATATTTTGACCATGGGGGAAAAGCACCACTAAAAGCTTTTGGACAACTACAGCCAAAGATTTACCCTCCCACGACCTCCCGTCTTTAACTCAGCAGAAGCAGCAGCCAGAGATACTAAAGAGTGCCTTTTTAACACAGAGGGTCTAAAGGGATATGAAATAAAGAAGCAGGGAGCAGAAATAAGACTGTATGTGATTAGGGCAATAAGGGCTGTAAATCCCAGGAGGTGTTCCAACCGACATTGGCTGAACAAACACCTTTGACCAAAGAGCAACGGACAGATGAATCTAAAAAGGCAGAGAAGACTCAACCAACAGCATGGGCGGTACATGTCATGCCTTGATAAAATGGAAATAAAGTGGCTCTGGTTTCCTCACCATGTTTGGAAAAAAAAAATTTTTGATGAAGGGATGAACAAGGATATTCTTTCTGCTTCATAATTGAGTCTTAAGGCACAACAAACCATGTCTGGTTTACTCATCAGGGAGGAAAGATTAGTCAAAAGAATAAACGGAACGAACAGCAAAATGGAAAAAAAGATCCATTAAAATATATATTTGATATTTAAAGTTTGGCACAAAAATATTTAGATACATGTTCTAACTTAACTTTTTTTTTTCGAACTGGAACCATTTTAACATTTTGAACCAGCCAGGGTCCTGACTCGAATCTTATGGAGAATCAGAGACTAAGGATTATGGTGACAGGAAGGAGACCTTCCAGCCTTAAAGACATGGAGCTTCCTAAAGCAAACTGATGATTAACAGTCATACTTATAGCTGTGTGGTTAAGTCTGTGTTTCAAGACAGAACCTTTTATTGGACAAACATAACGGGAATTGTAATAAATAAACACCCTCCCCAAAATCTCAACTGACCAAATTCATGTGTGCCTGTTGAACGCCGGCTAAATCTGCATCCATCTTGACTTTTAAAAGTCTTTGGATCATCTCACGATACCTCTTGACATCCACCAGAGGGCTCAGACTCAACCTGCTCCTCTCCACGTTCTGCTGCCACACCTCCCGTGTACACCCAACAAGCTCCTGTGCAGAACCAGTCTCAGGGATTCCCCCATGTCCAGTGTGTGCCTCATTTCTCTCCTCTTCAGCTTTCCCACACAGAAGTGATGATAAGCCCTCTCTGAGTGACAGCACCTCTTTTTCTAGAGCGGAGGCAAATTCTTGAGCTGTACTTTGACTCCTTGTGAAGTTGACAGGTCGGATGAAGCAGGATTCAGGGAGGAATGTCAGCATGGAGTCTAAGAACTGGAGCATTTGTAATTGGCTGCAAGGGAAAAGTAGAACAACATTTTGTAAGTTAAAATACAATCAACGCTAAAACAGAGTTTTTAAAATATACTTAGTCCTTTAATTCTTTTTTTTTTTTTTTCCCCATTTGTCAAAGACACCTTAGTATCTATTAGCCGGTTTTGTAATTTTAACAGCCCAGCTTGCCAGAGCACCGAAGTCTCTTTGATATTCCAGGGAATATCTCAGATGTACACCTTAGCCAACTTCAAAGGGTTGTCATCTTGGAACGTGTTTATGGAAATTTAGCAAAGCAAAGCTATTCGTCTCTATGCGTTCACTAACACTGCATAATTTAATACTACATGTAGTCATATTGCAGTTGACAAGAAAATATTCTGAATCTCTACTCTGGATATGAAATGGCTTTAAATCACATTATCAGGATTTTTGTAACTTAAACCATGCAAACCAATAAATATTGGTATCTTTATCCGCTATGTTTCACTGGATTTTATATGATAGACACAACGTAACTTTTAAAAAAATGAGGTGAAAGCAAAATGTGCAACCTTCAATACAAAGCAAGAGTTCTCCTGCAGGTAACTTGATATCAGTGAAAACCTTAGAGGTTTGTTAGAGATTACAAGAGAACAAAAATATAAAGATGAAGAGACACACCAGTCTGGTCAAGATTAATATTCTGGGCTGGTAGAACAAGGTTTATGTTATAAAACAATATCCAAAGCTTGGAAAGACAAAGGCACAACTGAAAACTTAAGACATGCCAATCCAAGTAATCATGGTAACTCTAGAGGAGCAGCAGAAACCCACAGCTCAGGTAGGAGGATCAGTCAAGAGGACAAATACTCTGGACCCATAAACTTGGCCCTGACAATGAATGGAAAACTAGAAACTCATAAAATATTTTGGCAGAAACTATTTTGGGCAAAGGGCAGACCTACAGAACAATACACTCTGGACTGGAGGGATTAAAACTGTAATTTTTCTACCAACATGAAAAATCCTATCTGTGGCAAAAGCAGATTGCATCCCATTGAAGACACCGACCTGATGGCATCAAAATGTTGGTTAGCTGTGTGAAAGGGAAGAGCTTATTATAACATGGATGGAGATGATTACAGGACCATCCAAGAAGAAAACATGTTTAACTGTTAAAGCTTTGCATAAAAGATTAGCAGGACAATCCTTTAGATAATGGTTAAAATCAAAGCATACTCATGTATTAAAATGGCTCCAAACCTACATCCAACTGAAAGGCCTTACCATAGTGTTAGCATTTAAGTTATTTTGCAAATTAACTGAAAAATGTCTCTCGATGTGCAAAGCTCGTACAGATATACAGGATTCAGCTATAACTCTTTCAAACGGTTGAACTGCAAAGAAAGGCGTTTACAATCACATTCAGTTCCACGTCAACTTTAATTAGAAGTTTAGCCCACAAAATCTCATTAAATTACTTTTATGCCTCGATTTGACAAACTATATATAAAAAGTGGAAAGAATAGTTTGCAAGAAACTGTGTGTCAGTCAGAGGGCAGCACTGCTGCTAACCTAATGGTATCAATCAGTGGAAATGGTTTACCTGGAGTGGATGGACAAATCCCCTTGGAAAGGGTTCATCTGGTACCAGCGGAGCAGCATTGGAACAGAAGGCCCTGGAGAATCTAAAAGTAGATACTCAGGGCTTACTTCTATCTTTTTAAAGTTCTCTCTCCTCCGAATCCAGCCATCTATGTCACCCAAACTATAATCTGGAGAGTCTATATGCAAGACCCAGTGATCCAGCACTGTCAAAAGACTCAAAAGGTCTTCTCTAACCTCATCTATAAAGAGAAAATGAAAGAAGAAAATGAGACACAATACAAGTTTATAGAATGATTTTCAAGTATATCTGATTTTACCTGTTTTGACTTGAGGGTTTTGTAGCAGAGGCTTCAGGCAAAGATCATGGATATCTACAGAAATGTCGCCACAATGCAGTACAGCTGTTGTCGGGTTGCTCCTGGGGAAAAGAGCCTCTCCTTTCTTGTAATGAAGCATGGCATGGCACTTGACACTGCCAGAGGTCAGCAGAGGTGTCAGCTTGGTTGCTGCAGTCACAGCCAGTCTACACACATTCAGATCATTGCTGGCGAGGTGCTGCTTGCTCCTTTTGGCTGCAGGCTCTAAGAATATGTTGCTAGACGATGAGGAGGAGAGAGTTGGTGTTGAGGGGCTGAGCGCAGGCAGCCAGAACACTTGGCTACGGGTCTGGATTACCGCAGGCATCAGGCTCTGGCCTGGCTCTGTCAGGAGGGATAAGCTCACACCGCTTGCCAGACTGGAACAAAAATAACACCATCATGAACAATCAGATATCACACAGATAGCATGTGATCAAACTGGGAATTAAACACAAAACTAGTGTGTGTGTGTTTGTGAAAACAGGGCAGCTGGTGTACTGATTAAACACCAACAAGCTGGTGAAGTTACATCAGCTGGAAAAACTAGCGATGAAAACAAAAGTGCTCGAGCGCCGGAGGCAGTATTGTCATGGGGAGCTTTTCTCCATGTGTTCTCAACACAACATGGCAATGTGGAAGAGGGAATCAGATTATCAACCTGCATCTGATGGGATGTCTAGAAAACAGTCAACCCAGGGAAATACTCTCCGACTACAGGTGTTTCTAAACAATTTAAAATACCATTGAAAAGTATAATCTTAGAAAATATTACTGCACCATAATGCTATTGTACAGTAGCAAAGTATAAAAGAGTAATGGTATATCCTTTATCTTAATTCATTACTCACAGAGCTATATATTGAACAGTTTAGTTTGGTTCATTTTGAGAATTACTTCAAACGACTAATGAAAATGCTAAATTGAGTATATTTGAAATATCACACAAGCTCAACAGTTATAAGGAAATATATCTGATAAAAATAAATCAACAAAGATTGTTGGAGATCATAAAAGATTCTCACGCAAACCCTAATCCTGAGTTTGTGCTCCCTAGATGTTCATTCAGAGGCCCTGAGATCCACAGATCCAACAAAACATCGCCTACAACTCATGCTATTAGGCTATTCCTGAACCACTGACAAAGTCAGGAGCATCTAATCCAGGCCCAGGTGGAAAATGGACTGGACTATTCGCCTGTGATTAAATGCTCTCATTAGATCTCATAAATGGATAATGTTTATCCTTGATCTCTTCTTCATTGTTAAATCATGAGCACTAACTAATTAGAGATACACAATCCAATACCTGACTCCAATATCAGCTCCAATATTGACTAAAAACCTGGATTGGAGATCAGCAATTTGATATGGGATATCAGGGGTCCAATCCAGTAGCCTGACGTAGTCCTACTCAATTCTAGTCAGAATATGAGTCTGATACTGCTCCATAGAGCTGTGATTATGGGGCATGTTTCAAACGAACCAGGAAAAAAAATGCCTCTGCACTCAATTGGATAGACCTACAACCAATAAGAGCAACGGAGTGCGTGACGTATGTTAAGCGATGCATAGTTGTTGTCAACAAAAATCAAAGCGTGCAGTTGCACGCCTAGAATAAGAAGATGAGCCTTGATCGCGTTTCTCTGTTCCTCTCTTAAAATTAATTTGCTGTCGATATCTTCTAGAACAGACCTAATAGCAGAATCTACACACCTCAACTCTCCAGCGGCAGCCATTGTTGTTGTCACCCATGCGCGCTTTGGTCACGTGGTTGATTACATTACTGTTGATCATCTGTCCATCATTGTATAAAGCCCGCCCTGACAATTTGAGTGGCCCGCCAGATATTGTGCGAGCATACTCGCTCTACTACTGAGCAATGCCAGACCGAACTTCCCGACCTCAAACGTTGTGGGTGGGACTAAGTTCGGAATGGCAGTCAGGCTACCAATCCAGTGCACTTTACATGAAATTGTTATTTATTTCTTCTTGTTGCTAATTTGTTAGTAAATAATATAAACTACATACATTTGTGTTAATTTACCTTTTTCTTCACTAACATAGTGAAATATGTTAGGATAATTATCATCGTAGATGTGTGAGTTTATTACACTTTGGTATTGGCTGTCTGTTGCATGTCAGAACTGAGGTTTTCCACAAAACTTAATCTAATTAGGACAGATCCTCTGTCTGGACATACAGATATAATCTTCATTCTGTATGTGGCAAAGATTTGGAAATGGAATGAGAGCGGTGTCTTCAGCTAAGAACAAAGTGTAATATTTTGATAAGGCTGGAGCCATGGATGTCTAATATCTGCTAACGTGTATGATGTAAAATATGATGATGTTTCATTTAATCTTTAGGATCGCATTAGAGTCTGATTAAGAACAGGATGAATCACACTTCGAGCTGGAACTGTACAAAGCGATACCATTTCTTACGCATATGGGCAAGATACCCTCAGGAGCTCAGCAGATTAACTAGGTCAAATTTTTTATAAACAAGGCTGGAGAGTTAAAAACAAGTCCAGTGTGAACTGATCCTGGGTTTTCAGCCTCCAGTTTTTATCCATTTTTATTTTTATCTGTGTATATAATGCCGTTTAGAAAACTGCCTAGGCACACGCTGATTAATTTGCATCCCTAATCATTACTAACACTTATCTTTTCACTATTCATCTGGTCCTCACTTTCTTTGCATGACTTACTAAATTCTACAAATTTTCATGAATGAAATGATTCATTATTGACTAATTGATGAACTGTTTGATTGCCTTTCCTGGTAACAAACCTGAGAGGTCATTTACTTTTGCCCCGCTCATAGATAGCGACAATGAGGTTGTCAGTGGGCAGGCATGATAATTCGGAGGCAAAGTTCAGGAGAATAGGCAGGTTGTTTCGCTTACATTTTTTTTGGTTTTTGTAACAATCCTTAAATGGTCTTTTTTTTTCTTCCAGGACAGGCTGGAAAAGTCTCTTACTTCACTGTATTTTGTTTAAGGTGTGCATTAACCCTTTTTTTCTCAGCAGGTGCAGAATTACTGGCAAATGAAATGAACTGATTTGCTGAGAGCAGCCAGAGACAGAGGGGTTCAGATGGTTGAAACCCTTTTGATAAGAGGATTTGAATAGATTCTGACTGACCTGGTTAATAACTGGACTGGATCTGAATAATTGATTAGGAAATCAGAGAGATGGTGTAAAAACGCAGCATGCCAAAAGCATATGCTCAGCCCAGGTATCCGTATCTGATTGAATCATAAAGAACTGGACCGGTGCATCTCTAATACTAACTTTAACGGATTTAATAAAAACTCACAGGGCTCCTGTGACCTCCTGGATGAAAATGGCATCTTCTCTTAAAATTTCTTTTAAGAACAGATGCAATTGGGACCTTATGTGTTACTTTTTATTTTTAAAACAAAATAAATTTGAAAACAGTGTTTTGTATTTTTACTTCAGTGTGACATAGAGGCAAAATTAGAAGGGAAAAAGCACTTTTTCAGGGCAATGTAAGAGTTTTTTTTATATTTTTGAATCTAACTAATAAAACAAATTCATATTCTCAAAAAAATATTATACATTATGAATTTCAGTAGTTTTATCATAGTTTTGTAAAAATTATAACACTTTAAGTCAGACAGTAGTGCTTTGTGAATGTATGCTTTTCAGACTACAAAACAAAATACATGATATATCTGATATGCATGATGATGAAAAAATAAATATATATATTTACATGTCACTTTCAGCATTTAGAATCAATCCAACAACCAGTTGGTCATCAGCGATGCGGTGCCAGAGCTTGTCAATTTTGGGTTTGGAGGTCGGCGCTGGTGTTTCATGCATCCTGTCATCCAGGGTCTTATCGTTGGACTCCTCCTCATCACTGTCCCAAAGGGCAACAAGCCCTTCCTGGAAAGAGAGCACAGAGACCATAATCAGCAATGACAAATGTGCGTTGCCACTGGCAGCAGCAGCAATTTATGTCAAACATTTCAATTTGCTTTTCAGGCTCAATCCCAACAGATGCTTCTATCTAAAATTAAAGAGTACTGCTGCAAGACTTTTTGGCTGACACAAAGCTAGATGCTTCTATACAGTGTTTAATTAGCTTATATTTCATAATGATTAATGTTGATGGGTACATACTGGAAACGCTACGTGATTAAAGCCTTGAATATGCCAGTGTAGTAAAGCTTATTATTACATTCTACAGACGACTACAATCAGCTGTTTCAGAAATTTAAAATCCACAATCCATGCTTTCATTAGCTGTTTAAAAAGAAGAAAATGTAATCTGGGAAAATCCATTCAGCTGACTAGCATGGTTTAAGAACTTCATTCTACTTTCAAACTAACATGGTCATATTAAAGCATTTTGGTAGGACATTACATTTAGTTTTTTTTTTTCCTGTCCTCTTTTGTCAATATAGTTCTGGGAATAGATGTTCTAGACTAAGAATGATACCTGAACAGATTTGCTCTCACAAGCAGACCATTATGATTGTTGACATAAGGTTCCATTTGATACTCTTAAATGAAACTTTATTGAAAACTATTTGGGGAGTAAAATTGAATACAACGGACAAAGAGATGGAAAGAGGTGAGAAAGAGAGAGGGGATAAGAACTAAGGGAAGAGAGAAAGAGAGAGAAAAGAGTGCATGAAAAGAGTGAAAATAAAACAAAACAGCAAAAATAGACAACACAGAAGATATGCAATAACTCCCTGAAGTCCGGTTTCACACCTGTAGGAGATGAGAGGGAAAGAAAACAGAGAACATAACTGCAAAAAGAGGACAACAGACAACCAAGATAAAAATAAAAAAAGATCCAAGAGCAGCGGGTATCCCTTAGATATCCATATGTATGGAAGGCAAAACCTATGTTGATTACAAATATTATTCCGGGAGGTATATATCTGTAGCTGCAGCTCCGTAAACACCTGGAATCAAACTCTCGTGGTAAGAATGCATGGACATATTGTATAAAGAATTTACAAAGCTACTCAAGAAGGAAAATATGCTTAATAGCAGGTGTGGGTGGCCCTAGACTAGTCCTACATGGCCCAGCACCGACAAAGAGGCGATTAAGCAGATACATTTGTAAAATTTGTGGTAATGTGTGAAAAATATTCCCACATTACCACTAAGTTTAGAAATGTACAGCAGAAAAAGTAAGTATTGAACATGCCACTGTGTCATTTACCTTTTTCTTGGGTAAATATATTTCTAGAGGTGCATTCACCTTGTCAGTGCAAAATAATATCAGCTGGTTCAATCCCAAATGATGCCCTATAAAAGGTGTCTCTGGTATCACACAAGAAACATCAAATGTAGGTACAAGTAAGGAGCTTTCTCAAGACCTTCACAACCTTTTCGTCGCAAATGATGATGGCATTGGTTACAGAAGGATTTCTAAACTTCTGTATGGTCCAGTAAGCACTGCTGGGGTCATAATCCAGGGGTGAAAATAAAATTTCACCACAAACCGACCTTGACCAGGCGTATTGAAAGATTTCTGAAAGAGTAAAAATTATGATCAGAAGAGCTGTTCAAGAGCAAAAGACCACGTTTGAAGACCTGGAATTAGCAGGTACGATTGTTTTTAATAAAACAATAAGTAATGCACTCAATAGCCTGGATATAGGCTCAACTCCACTGGTAAAGCAAAAGCATGTTAAAGCTTGTTTAAAATTTGCTGTACAAACATTTAGACAATCCTGTGAAATAGTGGAGAATATAGTCTGGTCAGATGTGACCAAAGTTGAACTCTTTGGATGCCATAGTACAAATCATGTTTGGAGATCAAATGACACTAGCCTGGGTGCCATTCCGAACTTAGTCCCGCCCACAAGGTTTGAGG